GGCTGTGGCCGCCGCCCCTGCCGCGCAGCAAACTCCACCCACCGCCCCTCGGCCGCGGCGACGAAGTGCCAGAGACCGGGGAAAAGGAGTGAAATGGGTGGGCGGGGGCCGCAGTGTCCACTTTTGGAACAGACCAGACCCATGTGTACACACCAGCGCGGCGAGCATGGGAGCAGCACGTGTCCATACTGCTGGCCAAAAAAAAAAAAGACTGGTCATCAGCGCCTCCCGTGTTAGGTTAAGGTTAGAGGAAGGTGATGGGACGTAAACAAAGGGCTTTAGACCGGGAGAGGCTCGGTTCGAACCTTAAGTTCTTCCAAGTAAGCCCTGGCCGGGGTGGCTCGGTTGGCTGAGCACGGTCCCGGGCACTTGGAGGTCCTGGACCCATTCCCGGCCAGGGTACGCGACCGGGTCGTGGGCTTCATCCCCAATAAGAGGCGTGCAGGAGGCAGCCAATCTGTTTCTCAATCTCTCTCTCCCTTTCCCTTTCTCTCTCTAAAATCAGTAAAAACATTTTTTTAAAAAAATTGTACCATTTAAGTTCTGTGACCTAGGTCAAGTTAACTTAGCCTCTCGCGTGGCAATCTTTACACGACCCCGAAGGTGGATGAAAGGTTTTCGGGATAATGCGTGGAGGTGTTTCGCACTGCCAAGTCTCCGACAGCTTTAGCCGCCAGAAGAAAGGACGCTGGTCCCCGCAACAGCGAAAGGAAGCGGGGGCAGGTCGCCTGCTGCCAGGCTGGCCGGGACAGGGAGCGCACCCTCCCCTGCCTCTCTAACATGGAGCCCCCAGGAAGCGGAGCCCGGCCTAGCTCCTTCCCGATTCCATAGGCCACGGGGCGTGGGGGAGGGCGGGGGAGGAACTTGTGCGGATCGCCAGCCCTAGAGGGGTACCCGGGCCTTCACCTTTCCTGCACAAGCCCGGCGTCCCGAGGCCCCTAGGAATCGCTCCCCAGGCCCACTGTGGGGGGCCGAGATGGGTCGTGGGGGTGGAGCCCGGCGGCCCGGAAACCCCCAAAGTCGCCAGGTCGTTCTTGTCAGTTCGGGATGGGTTAGGTCTGACCGTTAGGAGGTTTACTAGTACAAATCTACTACTACAAACCTATAGTAATTACTCTTCCCTCGAAGCCGCAGCGCCGGCGTTTACCTGGGTATTGCCGGGCAAGGCCTGTCCGGTAATGTTCCTGACGCCTGCCCCGAGGACTTGTGGGAAATGTAGTCTTCCTCGGCTTGGCGCTTCCGGACTCCACCTCCCGGCGGCTGGCGTTCCTCCCACCTGTTCCGGTTAGGCTTCTGGGTGCGCAGGCCCCTGAGCGCTCGCGGCGGAAACCCCTCCTCCTCCTTCCTACTGCGCCGCGCCTGGAACAAATTCAGAATATCACATCCGCTTCCGCCAGAGGGACCTGCTGCGGTGTCTATCGCAGGGGTCCTGGTGTGGTCAGACTTCAGTTAGAAAATTGGGATCTCATTTCCTGCTCCTGATGCTTAATAACTTCGAGGTTATGGATAAGAAAGCAAAAGTGCCGTCAGGTAATAAAGACGACGGCCGGGTTTTTGCCAAGCTTATGAGACATATTCCAAAAACAAGCGAGGTTGTGTACGAATGAGGAAATTGACTCATTACCTGATTTGCCAAAGGCCGCACACCTTAGTAGCGGAGCCTGGGGTCAGTCAACCCAGACAAAAAGAAACGCTTGCTTTAAATCTTGGGCTTTTAACAGAACACCAAAGTATAAGAGACTAATGATTTTTCTAATTTACGCAAACTAGGAAGACTTTATATGTTTACTATCTACTGCTTTTTTTACTTTTTTCTTGTTCTTATGCATTCTTTACAGTTCCAATTTAGTCGGTCATGCATAGTTTTAAAAAAGGGTTGGGTGTTTATTTCTAATCTAGGACTTCATTTTTAAAACGTTGTTAAGCTTCTGTAATAAGCTGTTTCACAGTATGTTTATAACAGCACTATTTGGTAAATAGCCCCAAACGTGGAAACAACTCAGTGACCAGCAGCAGTAGAATAGGTAAATACGAACTACTGAAGAGCAATGGGAGCAAATGAACCACACCTATTCAACACCGTCACATAAACATAATGTTAAGGAAAAAGAATCTAGATTCACAAAAATGTAAGATTTCATTAATATAAAGTTCAAAATCCGGCAAAACCAATGTATGTTCAAATTCAGGCTGGAGGTATAGTGTCTAAAAAGGGGATGAGGGAATTTTAGGGTTCTGTTAATGTTCTGTTTCTTGAGTTAAGTGCTTGTTACATGAGTATGTTCACTTTGTGGGACTCTGTTGAAATATGTCAGAAAAAATATGTAGCTAAGATTTGTTTATTTTTCTTTGTGTATGTGAAAATTCAATTAAAATTTATATTAAAAAATTTTAAGTGCCATGAGGACAAGAGAGTGATTACCTGGCAAATGTATCTGATGCAGATGGGGAATTTGTCACTGAGGAAGCAACATTTGAACTGTTTTTTTCTGGGATGAAATGGTATTTACAAACAGAGAAGATGGGAAAGAGCCATTCTAGGGGAAGGTGGGACCGCACACCATATGTGATAAGTAGTAACTTTGTTCATGTGAAGGAACCACAGATATGAAGGAAGGTGGGACAAGGCATTGGATGAAAAGCTGGTTGAAGGTCATGTATGCCATGCAAAGGAGTTTGTACTTTGTTCATAAGTCTATAGACTATATATACTTTTGTATCAGCTACAATTTGATCTGGAAAGCAGGACCACTATGATTGATATGGTATAAGATTAATTACAGGGATTAGACTTTATATATTTGTGAGGCTGGTAACGAGGCCTATAGAAGACTATGGCCTCTGTGTCTGGAGGTGAGCCTAAAATTGCTATAAGTCAGAATGTCTTATACTCAGGAACTGATGTGAAGTAGAGAAGAGCAAACACAAACTGAAACCCCTATAGACAAAGTGGAACTAATCAGGACAAATTGAATCCTATATTATCTCACCACCTCTAAACTCAATAACATGGATAACCTTCAGAACAAAATGGTACCAATCTCCATAGAGCTGAACTCATGCCTGACCTAAGACTTAGAGAAACTGTGGGCCACGTTGCTACTCTGTGCCTGGTACCCTTCAGAGCTGCTTCACTTTTTCTGCCAAATCTCGCAGTGATTCTTATGGCCAACCCTAAGTTAGAACAATACAGGGAAGAGAATTCTGGAGATACAGTTCTAGCTTCTCTAAGAATGATGACTCAATACAAAATTCACCACAGTTGTTCTAATTGTTGTTCTCAGAGCAACTAAACAAAATTTATTCCAGGAATATATACAAAGGTAAACATTTAAAATCTGCTAACAGAAATAAAAAGAAAAAATTAAAACAACCCTTGGCAGTTATGGACTGAATGTTGGTGTCCTCAAAATTCTTAGGTTGAAGCCCTAACCCCCAACATGACTGTACTATGTTAAAGCTTAAATGAGATCATAAGGGTCAGACTCTACTCCAATAGGACTGGCACCCTTCTAAGGAGAGGAGGAAACACCAGAGCTCTTTCTCCCCACTGTGTGAGAACACAGCAAGTAGGCAGTCATCTGTAAGCCAGGTAGAGAGCTCTCACCAGAAACCAAATCAGCTGGCACCTTGATCTTGGACCTCCAGAACTGTAAGAAATGAATTTTGGTTGTTTAAGCTACCCAGTCTACAGTATCTTCTTATAGCAGACAAAGACACCAGCCATGTTTCTGAAAATCATAGCCAATTAAATAAAATGGGAAAAAGAAAAGAAATAAGGTATAAATATTTTAAAAGAAAAAATATACAAAATTATTATTTTTAGATAATACAGTTGTCTATCTAGAAAATAATATTGAGTAGACTGAAACTCTATTGAAATTAATATGAGTTCAAGAAGATAAATAATATTAGATGAATACACAAAATCTACAGTTTCCTATTAGAATATAGGAATAAAATGTCAAGCCCAGGTAGATTAAAGAGTTAAACATAAAAAAGTAAAACTACAAACTTTTATCTTCACTTTCTTTTGAAACTACAGACTTTTAGAGGATAAAGTCTTAATGCCACAAGACAAAAAAGTATGAATAAGATATAAGAATCAGGAAAGAAAAAGTAAATATTTCATTATTTGCATATGATATGTTATCTACATAGAAAATTTAAGGGAAGCTACAATTATTACAACTAGGAAAAGGTTCAGCAGTTTGTTGAACATATGGTCAATCAATAGTGATCTGTTAAAGTAATAAATTAGATAATGTTATCAGAAAAATCAATTTATCACAGCAATAAATTCCAAAGTATTAGCAATAAATTCCACTAGAAACAAATAAAAGATGTGTAATACCTTAAAGAAGAAAAATCATAAAATTTATCAATGGGCATAAAAACACCTGGATAAATGGACATATGATAATTATATTCAAAACTTTAAAGATAAAAAATATTTCCAAATTAATCCATAAATACAATATAACTCCAATTATAATTCCTACAGGACTCTGAGAAACTTTATAAAATGACTGAAAACCCTAAAGTAAGGCCCAGAACAGGCAAGATGAATCCCAAAAGAACATGAAGGAAAGTTATTATTAGGGTAGGCTAACTGCTACAGTCAACACCTGCAGTAACTCAGAGGTTTAACACAATAAAGTTTACCTTTCGTTTATGGCATAGTGCAATACTTGGTGGAAGAAGAGCCAGGAGAAGGTGGACTCTACTCCATTTAGTCATCCAGGAATACAGGATCCTTCTGTCTAGTGACTTCATCATCCCGTAGGACCTCAGAGTCTTACACGGGCTCCACTGCATCCAGTCAGAAGAGGTTAGAGAGAAGGCATAGAGAATATCAAGGGATATTTTTAGGAGCCAGGTCTGGAAGTGGCAAAAACCACTTTCCACCAACATTTCATTGGTCCCACTTAACTTCAAGCAATTTTAGTCTATCTAAATATGCAGAGGCCCTCGCTGGTTTGGCTTAGTGGATAGAGCATCGGCTATCTCTTTAAAAAGTAACGAATAAATATGTAGGGGGGGGGGATTGGACTTGGTGAACAAATAGAAATCTCTACCACAAAGAATTGGCCCTGAAAAATAGCATACTTAACAATCAGTTGTATTAATAAGTGTGATGTTGACTGGAAAAAAAAAACTAGTGGGTCAGAATAAAGAACCCAAAGATAGGCAGACATTAAAAATTAGTGGAGCCCGGCTGGTGTGGCTCAATGGTTGAGCATCCACCTATGAACCAGGAAGTCAGGGTTCTTTTCCCTGTCAGGGCACATTTCCAGGTTTTGGGCTCCATCTCCAGTGTGTGGTGTGTGGGAGGCAGCTGATCAATGATTCTCTCTCATCATTGATGTTTCTATCTCTCCCTTCTCTCTTCCTCTGAAATATATATATATTTAAATTAGTGTAGAACCCTGGTTGATGTTTCTCAGTGGTTAGAAAGTCGTCCAGGGTCATGGGTTCGATTCCCAGTCAAGGGCAAGGGCAGGGACCTTGGTTGAAGGCTTGCAAGCTCTATCCTGGGCCCTGGTTTGGGCATATGCAGGAGGCAACCAATCAATGTGTCTCTCTCACATCCATGTTTCATTCTCTCCCTCTCTCTCTTTCTCCTACTCCTCCTCCCTCCCTTCCACTCTCTAGAACTCAATGGAAAAATAGCCTCAGGTGAGGACTAAAAAAAAAAAAATTAAAAATTAGTGGAGAAAGGATGAAATCCTATATAATAAAAGGCTAATATGCAAATTGTCCCCTTGACCTGGAGTTCCACCTGGAGTTTGACCAGGGGCCCAACCGCCTGAGGCCCCTCCCTCAGCCGGCCCTGCCCCCGATCGCCCCCACCCCCACCCTGATGGGGCAGGCAGGCCAGAACCCACCTATGCAGGAATTCCTGCACCAGACCTCTAGTCTGGCATATAATAAATAGCAATGGGACAATTCCAAATAGAAAGCAAAGATAAGGTCTTTACCTGAAATATACACAGAGTAAATTTCACACAGATTAATGATCTAATGTGAAAATACATCTTTAAAATCAGAAGAAAGCCCTAGCTGGTTTGGCTCAGTGGATAG